GTTTGTGGGACATTGCTGTGCGCAATTGGCTGCCGCGTTCGCCCACAAATATACAGTCAATTCACTTTACAGTGTGTTCTGTGAAGCGCTTTGGGACGTCCTCCCGACGTGAAAAGCGCTATATCAAATGCAAGGATTATTATTATTATTATTATTATGTGGGCCGAATGGCCTCCTTCTGTGCTGTAATGTTCTACGACTATCAAGGCTGATGTGAGCTCCATTCCAACCAATTTTGTGTCGAGCTGATGTACGGATGTGGAATTCTCTCCCCCAAATCCTTCATCTCACATTATTCCTCCCTCTCCCCTCCCCTCTTATTCTCCATCTTGCTTGGGTTTTTAAAATGCACATTTTTCTTGTAGTAGAGTGCAGGCAAGTCTGACTCGGGAAAATAAACAGGAATATTTGGTAGCAAATACACACTCATTCCCTTTCAGTGGCAGAGCTCCTTACTGTTTACATTATAATGTGCAGCATAAAGTGTTAAACAATTCATCTTAGGGGCTCAGTGTAGAAAGAGGGAACATCATTATATCTTGGTGGCAAAATCTGCCTTGACTCTGAGCCTATGGATTTGTAGTCTCTTGTCAGCCCTTGGCTTATTTTCCAGCAAACCACGGCTTATTTTCCAGCAAACCACTGCTCATTTGTTCTCTGATTGCACCCACTTGTTACTGCCGAGCTTGTGGAAGAGAACGGACAGGCCGCCATCCAGTGCACAGGACACCCCACCCCCCACCCCACCCAGCTGGTGGAGGGTGGACATGGGGGAATGCAATGATGAGGGGCAAACATTGAAACACAATCTGGGCTTCGAGCCTTAAAAATCTACTGTATAGTACAGCTGCTGTGCCCCTGGGCAGAGGCTTGAATGGTATTGTAAGAGATGGGAAGAGGAAAGCAGGATTGCGAATGTAGAACGGTCCCAAATTAAACGTTAGCCTTTCGACCAAGCGGAGTCCTGCAGCTCAGTGCTTGGAGCACTTGCCTCGCAAGCCAGGTTTGATTCCCAGGCTGCGCAAAATGTTGGGCAAGTTCCTTACTTCACATACCTCTGTTTGCCGAGCATTAGATAGTTGATTGGTGGATCGCTTTTCCGGGGGTAATAATCCCTTTAAAAATATTTGGTCACTCAAGACACGACTCTTTGTGGGAAACTGTTGGGTGCAAATGGCTGCCGCGTTTCGCCCACAAAATATGCAATCAATTCACTTTACGTATATTCTGTGAAGCACTATGAGATGTCTCGAAGATGTGATAAGGCGCTGTATCAAATGCAAGGATTATTATTATTATTATTTAGTCCATTAGGATGGCTTCAATCTGGGATTTGACCTTGGAACACACATCTCCGCATTAAACTGTTGCAATAGTCACTGACAAGATCAACTCATGACACTGCATTGGTCCACTGCAAATCGCCAATCCAACAGCCTGAATTAGTCTATCATTTGCAGCGTATCTTTCCGTCTGACGCAGTATTCGGTTTCACACCTTGAACTAACTGATACACTTCAAGTGAGCAAACAATCATAAAATATTCATTTCGGCACCATGCCTCGGTAAGTAAGCAAGAAACTGAGCCTACCTTAGCCTGATTCCTAAAGATGGTATTATTTCCGCTGCATTATCTGGCGCTATCCCATTTCAAGGACCGAGTGAGAAGAACTGCTACTTTTGGCCACTGACGTAAGAAAGACCTGAAGGGTTTTTGATGGCATGATGGCTTTGCAAATGATTGTCAGGGCAGCAGTGCTCACTGAGACCAACAAATTGATCCTTTTTTTTTTAACCCGAGGCCTGTCAGTCTGTTCAGGTGGACGTTAAAGATCCCACGGCACTATTGAAAAAAAGAAAGGACTTATCTCCTGTTGTCTCGGCCAATGTCTATTTTCTAATTAAATTAAAGGTGCAAATTACTTTGAAACCGTATTATCCATTAAGACGTCGGCATTTCCTGGCTCCCGCCAGTCCCTCCCCAATCCTGCACCCACCCGCACCCCCCCTCCGCCCACTCCAAGATGAAATAATTTCCCTTCTTAGCTCTTATGTGGCTGCTCACAAATTGGCTGCTAAGTTTGCCTGCAAAGTACACAGTCAATACCAATGACAACATGCATTTATAGTCACCTTCACACAAGGTAGCATTTTGGAACGCTTGAAGCCAGTCCATGTAGCACTAATTCCCGCAAAGTGCTTTGATATGAAATATCAACTATGCAATATGTGGAGTCTTGCTGATGTGAAGAGTAACTGATTAGGTGTAACTGATTAATTAAGAATAGTGCCTCTCTCTTAGTTTTCTGACTCACAGGATGATTGATTTGACCTGCTGTCGATTTTCGGGACTTTTCTGGGGTTCTCAACCCAAGAAAGATCAGACATAGTTTCAGCCAGACTAAAAACACCAACATTAAAGCAGTGATTTCTGCGTTTCTGTGGGGGAAAGAAGCCTATTTTCTAATTAAATTAACTTAAAGGTGCGAATTACTTAGAAACCGTATGATCCATTAAGATGTCCTATTAACATAATAAATACCTACTCCGCTGGTTCTGAGGGCGGAATTTGCACTTTTTTTTAATTATAATGAAATTGCGGAAAAGGTTACATCGAGGTTGATGATGACTGTATGTTATCCTCCCAGGCCTTCTGGCACACGGTTAATTCACTTTATAACAGCGTGAGGTGAAGAAAATTAAAATTGCTCTGCCTGACACGCTTGCTTAGTTTCATGTCCCAGTCATAGCTTGTGCTCTTTCATCCTCGTGCTCCGTGATCAAAATGATGGAAGGATTCCTCAATCCATCATATGATAACATCTGAGTTTTGAGCAAGGCAGCACCAGCCATCGTCTGCTTTGAACTCGTACAGTCTATGCTCACACTCTGATCCAGGACTGGGGGAGTATGGCTTTGTCAGAAGTGTTATCTTCCCCAATGGGGAAGTCCTGTAGCTCAGTGGTTAGAGCACGTCTTGAAGATGTGATAAGGTGCTATATCAAATACAAGGATTATAATAATAATAAGAGTAATAATCCTTGCATTTGATATAGCGCTTTTCACGTCTTCTAGACGTCCCAAAGCGCTTCACAGAATAGACTGTAAAGTGAATTGACTGTATATTTGTTGGTGAACGCGGCAGCCAATTACGCACAGCAGCGTCCCCACAAACAGTCGTGGATTGAAAATAACCAATTTATTATTGTTTTTTTTTGGAGGGATTATTATTAGGCTCTGTGTGGAGTAAGGAAACTTGCCCAAGGTTTCGCCCTCTGCCTGGAATTGAACTCAGGTCTCTCACTTGCAAAGCGAGTGCTCTAACCACTGAGCTATAGGGCTCCACATAATTATTAATATTAGTGGTGGGTGGCTAGTGCTATCAGGGTCTCAGCTTTCTCCCTCACCCCATCCAATCTGTCTACACCTCACTTCTTTAAGGGGAGCTGGGAGGGGAAAGACCACAGCTCTGAGGAGGACCACATACAGTTCTCCAAGCAGCCCCAACCTACGGCACCCCCTCTTTCTTGCCCCTCTCCCAACTTGTCAGCAGCGCCCACCCACTTCCAGTCCGGCGGGCTGCTCGTCAAGCCATCCTCACTATTCGATGGGCGATGGGCCTGTCAGTCAAGCCAACGTCCATCTTAAATGGGGCTGACCCTTCAACTGAGATTTACTTGGATTGATCTGGGTAGCTCTTGCCAAAGAGCCTGCATAGACACGATGGGCCGAATGGCCTCCTTCTGTGCTGTATAATTCTATGATTCGATGAAATTGGCTGCCCTGTTTGCCCACAAAACTCACAGTCACTCCGCTTTATAGTATATCCTGTGAAGCACTTTGAGACGTGTTCCCGACGTGAAAGGCGCGGTATGAAATGTAAGGATTATTGAACGGATCTGAGGTTTTTTTTGTGCTGGGATGAAGAAACTCAACTTCTGTCCCAAACGTGGTGCCAAACCGATAATAAAATTAATCTCCAAGACTGTAATACCCCGACTCTCTCATACATTAACAACCAGAGCCAATAATGAGCTTTACTGGTTGATCTGATTAGAGTCATTAAACTGCAAAGAGTCCGTTCAGACAATGGCGGGATTTGGTGACTCAAATTAGGGCAAGGAATAGGAACTTTAACTCTCCAATTATAACGGCTAAATGGTGTGGAATTTAAAATTGAGCAGGTTTAATGCGTAAAAAGAAAGAAGCCGCAGATTTGGGCCAGCAAGCCCCCAAATGAAATCGTTCTGGAGGGGGGTTGAGGGAGGGGGAAGATTGCTACGAGAGAATTAGCTGCCCCCAGTCACCCACGAAAAACACACAGTTCACTGAACTTTACTGCACGTCCTGTGAAGCAGTTCGAGATGCCCACCTGATGTGAAAGGCGCAGTACCGAACGCAAAGGAGCATTATTATTACTGAAGCAGAGAGTGAATGCCACCTGACATAGCGGAGGTGATCCTGAGTGGGACAAACTCCTCCGCTGTCTGCAGAATGATCAGTAAAATGCAAAATACTGCTCTGGTTCAGGGAGCGTCCACAGTCGAAACAGGCCATTTCCCCTTCTGCTGAGAACCACGACTGCTTCGATTGCGCCCTTGTGCCTGCACAGAATGTCTGAAGGTTCCCAAGAACATTCCCCCGCCTGACCCTTTCCAATTCCCCACCCCACCCAACCCCAAAAAGAAAAGAGCAACTTGCAAAGACAGCCCTCGAAACAGCACAATTCGCTGGCAGACCGCAGTTATTATTAAGACATTTGCAGGCCAACTACAAATCATTAATACGGCGATTTGTTTTGCTTTTCAACAAAAACCTGTCGTGTCTTACGAAGCTCACCTTGTGGCTTTGCGTGTCAATACGCCCTATTAAAAAGATCTCAGCAATTTATTTTGCCAATAACCCGCTCCTATATTCCCCGTCTCCTTTATTGTCCCTGCGCTTCTTAACATATAGAATGTAATTATCAACCGCCACTGTAATTTCTTTCTCTTTCTTACCTCCTACACCACTGCCATGAGCTTAACTGCCTGGATAGGAGGCTGAGTGAAAATGACAGGCTTCCAGTTTCCACATCACTGCAACATACTGCATGTGACCAGCGATAAGAGGCAATGATGATTAGGGGTGTGTATGAATAATCCAAAAATCCTCAATCCTGGCCACGAGCCACAGTTACAATCCTTCACTTCCTCAGTCAGAGTCTCCGAGCGACAGAAAATTCCCCACTCCCCTGGAGACATCTGTGTACATAGTTACCCGTAGCGTCCCGTGGACATTTAAGCGCTCCGAGACGCCAACCGGTGTGAAGGGCGCTATATAAATGCAAGTTATTGTTGGCATTATTCGAAAAGAGAGTTTCTCCCTGTGTCCTGGCCAACAATCTTCCAATTACAATGACAAATTGTGTCAGTCAACCCACTGTTCACTTCAATTGTTTGAGCGTCCTGCTGTGCACAAAATTGTCTGCTAAGTTTTTGCCGACGACAGTCACCACAGTTCACGGAAAGCCAGTCTGTGCATGGCTTTTGAGATGTTCTTGACGTTACCGTATCAAACTCAAGGATTATTTTTACTGTTATGATTATTTAATAACAGTAATAATTTGGTCACTTCAAACCACGACTGTCTGTGGGACGCTGCTGCGCGCAATTGGCTGCCGTGTTTCGCCCACAAAATATGCAGCCAGTTCGCTTCACGGTATGTTCTGAGAAGCGCTTTGGGACGTCTCGAAGACGTGATGAGGCGCTGTATCAAATGCACATATGATTATTATTATTAATATCCAATTCTGAACAATAACAGCGCTTGCTCCCGGGTTTTGGGGGCTTGAACCGCAAACCTTCCGACTCAGGAGCGAGCGAGCCTGCTACCCACCGCGCCGGTCTGAAAGTGCCTCAAATGCAAAAAGGTAAACCGGTCTTGAGCTCAAAGGAACCGAGGGAGTGAACTCAATGGCTCTTCCTCTGCCCGTGCTATTTCAGTCATCCTATCCCGTGGCTGCTGCTGTTTTGACATGCCTATTTCTTCCCTTTTTTCTTTTGTTCATGTTCCACTTTTCTTTCCGAGTTCCCAACTCCTGCCTCGTCTTTCACAGCAGTGACGCTGGTTGTCACAACAGCTCTTCTCCTCGTCCCCCACATTAATTCCTCAGTCCCCTGATGGCAATTGGCTGGGACTCGCAAATTGCAGCCCATGTTTACTTCTCGGGAAAAAAATCATTACACCTGACAGCAATTACTTGTGAAATGTTTCGAGATGTTGCAGCATGACATGGCACTATCTAATGCAGATTCTCTTGCTCTCTCTCTCTCTTTTATTCTGTCTCATGCCCCCCTTCTCTCTCACTCATTCCCTCTCTCGTTCCCTCTATCTGTCGTTCCCCATTCTCTCTCTCTCACATTCCCTCACTCTCTCACACACACATATTCCTCCCTCTCTCTCTCTCTCTCTCTCTCGTATTCCTCCCTCTCTCTTTTTCTCCCTTTTTTCTCTGTCTCCTTCACTCTCTCACACACATTCCCCCCTCTCTCTCTATTCCATTCTCTCTCTCTTTTTCTTTCGTTCTCTCTGTCTTTCTTGACCCAGTACAGTTCAGTTTAGCGCAGCTCCATTTGTCCGGGGAACGTTTAACTGTTTGCGCTGGACACCGCTGTGCGCAACTGACCGCCGCGTTTCGCCCGCAAAATGTACAGTCAATTCACTTTACAGTATATTCCGCAAAGCGCTTTGAGACGTCTCGAAGATGTGATGAGGCGCTATATCAAATGCAATTATAAAAAGCTGCCACTTCTGGGCACCACGTGAATGCCAAACAATGAACAAATGGCGCTTTTGTCACCATTTTTACTGCCACGGTGGAACGAATGAAGGGTGGCAAACGAATGAGGTATACGGTGCTCCCCAGAAGCACATAAGGGGGCGAGAGTGCACGAGAGTGTTTGCTTGGGAATGGAATGATCAGTGTAAACAGCCGAGCAAGAGTGGCAAGACAGGCACCGACAATAATAATCCTTGCATTTGATACAGCGCCTCATCACGTCGTTGAGACGTCTCAAAGCGCTTCGCAGGATATGCTGTAAAGCGAGTTGACGGTATATTTTGTGGGCGAAACGGCAGAAACAACGTACGCAGCCGCAGAAGCTGGAACCAGCCTTGGACCTGAACTGCAGCGGAAACGTTGTCAGCGCAAAGCAGACGCTTTTATGATTATTGATGCATTCATTTTCCAATCACGGCGGCTGTAATTTTTTTAATATAAATATATACACATATATATATTAACAAGAGGTCAGGATGCAACTTTCTTTCTCCAGAAATACGCACGTCCTAAGCGTGTGGTCATTTTCTGGAAATGCAGCTTAATTGTATGGATGGCTCTCGCAAACAGACCTCCACCCCACAAAATGGAGAGAACTGGAACTTGCGAAAAAAAAAGAAACACCCAATATATCCAAGGATCGCGTAACAATCTCCACAACTCCATTGACCCCTGCTCCCCCTCCATTCACCTCCCTTCCTCCCACCACAACCCCAAACAATTATTTCATGTTAACGTGTATAGCACGGTCTTGCTAAATGTGTTGCATCAAGTTGGACGAACTGAGGCATGGAAGCTAATCGGTGTCCAACTCAGGAAAACCATTTGCACTTCCACCCCAGAGGAACGTCTCAAACCAATTTGGGGAAGGAGTGGGAGGATAGGAAGAAGAGGAGACCGATGGCCCAATTGAACAGACGGAGGTCTTTGAATGTGGTTTGAAAGCTGAGAGGGATTTCGGATAAACGAGTTCCAGAGAGTGTGGAGGGGCAAAGAGGCCAAAAGCTCACCCCCGCGCCCTCTCTCTGGTGGTGGGATGGGACAACACGAAGGAGGCCAGAGTTGGCAGAGCAAAGTGGGGGAGAGGAGGGTTAGAGAGGGAGTCCGAACACGAGCGTGTAAATGCCTTCAATTTAATGCTCTCTCTCTCTCTGTGTGTGAAAGATGTACCAAACAAAGTAGTAATGCCTCATGTTTTTTTCCATATACATTTCCTTTTCAGGGGGGGAAGTAGGGGTTACGAGAAGGAGATTTTGAGGACTTGCGCAATTGGTTGACACGTTTCACCCACAAAATACACAGTCAATCCACTTTACAATATGTTCTGTGAAGCGCTTTGAGACGCTATGTTCGGTTTATGCTGCAAGTCTCTCTACTCTCGATTCAGTCCAGGCAGATTGGAAGGAAGAGAGTGCTTGCATTTACACAGCCCCTCGTCACACTGAAACGTCTAAAAGAGATTCACAGGTAATTATTTTCTGATGTAGTGCCTGCTTTTTTTTTGTAGTTTAAATACACGGTTCTTCAAATCCAGTCTTTTGAGGGATGTTAAAGTGGCTATCATCCAGTTCTTGAGGATTAGAACAGAATAGTTGCATTTCATACAGCACCCATATATCAAGGCATTTCACAGATAATTGCTGTGAAAAAATAGTGAGGTATTCATAGACTCAATTTGCACACAGCAAGGCCCCGCACGCAGCCATGAAATAAATGTCCAATTTATTGGCAGGATTTTTGGCCAGGGCAGTGGGAAATCGTTCGGCAGAGAGTGCCTTCTCTTTGTGAAAGATGTCGTGGGATTTTTAACCCTCGACTAAGAGACATGTAACTCAGTCATGGTTCGATGTGGTCTGCAAACTTGCTTTTACCAGAATCCAACGCCCTAAGCGAGTGTTTCGATTTGCCCCTTCCCTCCTTCCCCTCTTCCCCCACGCTTAATAATAATATAACAATCCCTTCAAAAATAACAATAGTAATAATTTGGTCACTCAATCCGCGGCTGTTTGTGGGGACGCTGCTGTGCGCAGTTGGCTGCCGCGTTTCGCCCACAAAATATACAGTCAATCCACTTTTCATTATATTCTGTGAAGCGATTTGAGACGTCTCGAAGACGTGATAAGGCGCTGTATCAAATGCAAGGATTATTATTATTATTATTATTATTATCTCTGGAGGACCATTCAGAGCTGGGGAGTCAGCCTGGACAACAAGCTTAAGACCTGACGCGGTGCTTAAACCGACAAACATCTACTCCGAAGACGAGAGATGGTTACCAACTGAGCCCACCTGACACGCAGAGTGGGGGAGCGGATCATGCAAAGATGGGAACACTTTGAGCTGCCACCTAAAGCGACAAAGAGGGCACAGAAAGTTGGCTACGAAACCGCAATCTGTACATGATTGCATCGCGTATCGCATTTTTTTCCCCTTAAAACTGTAAACTACCGTGTCAAAGTGTTACAAATAGGGCTGCTTCACAATTTATTACCGGTTTTCCTTAAATTCCCAGTGCAGAAGTGATGAGAGCATTGACGTGGCAGGAGCAGAACGAGCATTTGGAGCTTTCAGGGAATTAACCCCACCTTCCCTCCCCCCCAGGTGGGTTGGAAACAGACTGTGATGTCTGTAAGATAGCAGCATTATATAGGAACACAGTAATTATATATCTTAATATGTTTATATTTAACACATAATTTATAAAGCATGCGGGTAAATTGTGTACTCTCCACCCCGTACACCACGCACAAGTAATAAAGACATTCTTCAAGAAACCACTCCACACTGAATAAATGCTTCCATTCAACTGTGACCTGCAATAAGTCAGATGGACAGACATAAACCTACACAGAACACACTCAGGTGTATACACACATAAACAGATGCAGAAATAGAAACACACAGATGAACCCACACAGATAATCCCACATGCACAGAAACAGACACACACAGGCGGCAATCAGAGGCCAGAGCACCAGTTTACTTTCGTTCCTTTATCTTCTTTTATTAAACTGAACACCCATCGTAGAGTGAGCAGCGAATGCGCTAGTCAGAAGCGCTGTATCCCAAGTGAATTGATTCAATCGTTCTCTGAACGCCCAGTATTTGGGTTGGTCATCACGATTGGACTTTGGCTTGAACGGAGAACGGTCCAAAGAGAGTTCTGACGCAAGGTTCAGCGCCCTGAAACTTTAACTCACTTTCCTC